GCTCGAGGCGCGTGAGGTTGTCGAACACGAGCTGGATCTTATCCTCCTGCGCCTTGAAGTTCTTGCGCTCGGAGAACTGTACCTCGTTCCACACTACCTCGACGCCCTCCTCGGTGTCCATGGCGAGGTGCGCGCAGTCGATGCCCGGCACGTCACGCTGCTCCACCTGCAACCCCAACAAACATACATGCATTAAACAATCCTACGTCTATATCAGCCGTTACATTAATTAAATAATAGTAGCTTGTTACGATTTAATTCCGGCCCGGTTTGTCTGATCACAAGCAAATTTGAAAGCTTAAAAACGATACAAAGATATTGCATTATTTGTATACTGCAAGTAAGTAATGTAAATATTTTTAAGAACATACTTGGACAAACTTGTTGGACTGACTTTGTTGAAACGAAATACGAGAAGTAAATCGAGGACATATAAATATTATCTTAATTGCAGCAGCGCAAAGGATCACATAACGAACATTTTATAATAATGCCGGCGTCCGATGATAACATCTACATGGTCTCAATTTACATCACATTTATGTGCACTACCTTCATTTCTTGGACTTTAAAATACAAATGCATTCACATTTCTCATCTCTACAGAATTTTTGTTGAAATAATTTATACATGGATTTATTTTTTCGAAAGCGATATAGTAGATACTAACACAATTAATTGTTATTATCTTAGTTGTTTTAAGACAACATCCTACAAGACTAATAATTTCTAATATTAGGAGAACCTCTTTACACTCAGAAGCCTGAATATTTTAGAGGAGTCTTTTTCACATTCAGGAGTGAGGTTATATTTGACAGAACACTAACTTTATACCTGCACGTTTCATCAGCGGACACTGCACAGTCGACAAAATATTTCTTAGGTCGTAATCCCTGACCTGACCTTAAAATGACTTTTTGACCTTCACCGAATAAAGAGTGGGCAATAAATGTAAATTAGCAATAAGTGGCGGGAATTGTGCCATCTTTCAAACGAGCAATCATTCAATTGTTGCTCTTATTTTTCCCTTTAAATAACAGGGGATTCGGATAACGCGCTATTCAAAGCTGGGCGATGGAATACTTAAATAACAAGCAATTTCTATAACTGTAGTACGACATTACAATTGATTAAATAGGTAATTTAATTGTTAAAATGTCTTTAGTTGTAAGACCAATGAGATTCGTATTTATCGTGCTAAAATTATTAGCAAACATTCTTTTTCTACGCATGTTATTGGATTAAGGCGTGAGAAAACGAGTAGTTCTAGAAAATCCATCTAAATTATAAATTAATGCGAAATTCAAATAGTATAATCCAAGTAATAAAATGGATTTACATTTTAATGAATCCAATACACAGGCAATAGATACAGAAATGTGCTTATCAAATTATTTCATCGAAATGGCGCCTCATTGATTTGATTACATAACGAGGATATCAGAGCTGTTTATGTGCTGGAGATTCATATCATATTCGTATTTAGATACGACCAAATAAAACTGAACTCTTTGACTATTAATCTGTGCTCATTGACATAAAAATTCGCCATCATCTAAATTGTAGCATAAAATTGAACCAGACGGAGATAAACAGAGTTGTATTTAATTTATGTCACTTCTTCATATCGCTTGCAGCTTAAAGATTTATGGCGCAATTTGATTTCTCGTTGCCACAAGTATGTGGGATACAAGAGTTTTCTGTTCACGCATGCCGTAGGGCCCGCATGCGAGTACCGTATAATACTCTTTACTGCGCAGTATACATGTTGAATCATTATCCGCTTGCTTTACATCGACCAAAAAAATTTACTTATGCGTAATCCCGTAGGCGGGTCCTCCCCGAATGTTGCACAATGACCGGGTTATCAACTAGTGAAATTGGTCCTTAAGGGTAAATCACAAAGGTTTTTACAATTATGTAGTAACCAGCAAGGATACCAAGTAAATTTTCTGTTCCGTAAAACATGCCATTTGATGTACTAAATGGACAACATTCCAGTGAACAGTATCATAGTAGTTAATAAGTATCTATAAAACAAATCGTATTGGTAGCGGCCAGAGCGGCCGAGACGCCGAGTATGGAAGCGGCGGCCGCCGCGCATCGCCCGGGGGAATGCCATCCGCACCCTAATGAAGGTTGCTTTGAGCTCCAACTAAAGCCATATTGAGCTATTTACTTTACATTATTTGTTCAATTATTATTATATCGCTTTAAAAATAAATACACATTATATGTTTGAAAGATTAAAGATAAAAGATTATAAAGTAAAAGGCTTTAGGTAATGTTTGGCGAACACGTAGTTGCTATAACCAAGACAGTGACAACTAAATTGCTAGAAGAGCAAATAAACATACGAGGAGACCACAAAGAAAAAGGATGTCTATGGATTGTGTCTATGTCTATTAGCAAGCAAAGACCGCGGCGTCCCGCGTCCGAGGCAAGGCGAGGCGGCGTAGATAGCCGATGTAAAATTAGCTCGGTGCTGACGAACGATCATTAATTGTCCATTTGTTATTCATTACGCGCTGCGATAGGGGCCCGACCGGTACACAGCTCACGACACACTTTTACTAAGTAATTTATTAAAAGCTTTTCCTTTTGATAGTATATAGTGGGTATGTTTTAGTAAAAACATGCTGTATGCACTTAAATTATATTGATGATAATTCTGCAAACACACAAATATAAACACAGTGGACTCTGTTGATCTTAAAATAGCTTACTCAGTTGTCGGGCAACAGGACAATGAAGCCCTTGTGATGTGTCCAGAGAGCATACATTGACTGCGTTTATGCGTAATATGTGAAGAACTAGAAATATTTAGAAGGATGTTAAAGTTTTTCGGCCACTTAATATCTTCAAAAACAAATTCAGTGATTACATTTAGAAAATAATATAAAACTGAATTGCCCAGAAATATGACATTATTGCTTTTGAACAACATTTTATAAATATTTGCCAAAGAATAACATTGTTACGAGCTGAACATCGCGCTGTTTCCTCGAGCACTTCCGATCGAATATCATTTCACAAATAAAAAGCGATACGTGCGTAACTTGCCAGAATAAGGAAGTGCGCATATCGAAATAAGATAATTATAATGTCTTCCTTATTTCATTTCCTTGTATTCGTACGACAAGTTTAAATTACAACATGTCAATATTTCTTGGTAATTTATGACAGATATTATTTGCACACTTTTGAAAGGTCAATTTTTATACAAACACCGTTTTATTGATTTTTTTATTCGTTAAAGAATTTGTACATGTCAAATCAGAGATGAGCCGGTTCTAATCGTCTTGTTGTTGCAATTTTACTCACACTGGGGATGCTGAATACGTCATCCTGATTGTAAACGGGATGTCAGAAATGTGTTTTTATAAGATTGTTTTATAGGTGTGTTTGTTTGTGCTTAGTCTATAGTTTTCTGAACAGAAAAACGTGAATTCTTAAGTAAAGATTGCTGGTTGTATTGATCGTGCGCAATCTACTTTCATAGCAAGCGTCCAGTTTATGTTACATTGTAAATAGTACATTACAGTGGGAGGTAGGGGAGGGGTTAGAAATTGCTTGTAAAAGGTAAGCAGTCACAGTTCTACGAGAGTTTGTTAAATTAATAAACTGGCTCTTTCCCAGAATAATAATCACATTTATGCATGCGATCACTCGTATTCGTCTCATGATTTATTGTTCAGTGTATGGAGTTTATGAGTTATAGAGCACATTATGGCCACGGCAGTGCTGACCTACCGCAAGCATAATTGCCGTGAAACAATATCGGCACGGCCGGCGCAGCGCCGTGCGTAATCTGTTGTGCGTACTGTGTACATTACATACATAAATAGGTTAACCTCTATTCATTTGATTATAAAGTTTACCTCTGTGCTAAATCCTTACCATATCCATACATACCATGGAGAAAAATATGTCATAATTATCAAATGGATAGCTTAATACTAGTTCTTCCTGGATTGAAATTTTAGCAAAACGATCTCTTAAAATGTTATCAATCGATTGTTTTGTCTTTTAAGATGATGGACTGTCGTCATAAGAAGAAAATTATGCGCAGGAAAGCGTCTGCATTGTCACATAAAATATTCTGGTCTGGTCTTGTCGGCAGGACGCAGCCCACGCGATATCACAACCGGGTTCGTTCACTCCTATGTTATGTTTCTAGGGCTCGCTGGTGCAATTAATGATTCAATGTGTGATTTTCTATATTTTACACCAGCTAATCACTTCTTGTAGAACTCACGAGCCTAGTATGGCCAGAGTTGTCCCGCCCCCAACGTCAGATTCGAATACGATACATCGACGAAAACGCATTACAAATTTTTAATGTCGTATCAGGTGTTAGAGTGTGATGCCTCTTGACCTTTGTACCGTTAATGCCCGCAGCAAACATTGCAGATAATTCCGCAAATTCAATTTCTTAGAATTGACATTCAATGCAAGCAATAACTGGAAGGTATGGCAACATGCTTAAAGTTAAACAAGCAAAAAAGCATTATTACTGTCTCGTTTGCATTTGAAACTAAACCTAATGATCACGTTGTCACGCTCAATCCTTTACTTAAACAGTTCTCCAGCAATTCACTATCACGGCCGTATGGTGAACCATAGAGGAGAACCAAAAGGAAGAAATCTTGTAAAGATGATAGAAAAAATTCAATAAAACTGAATATAAAAACAATAAAGTCTTAAACCTACAGCAAAATATTAAAAATTAGTCTGAAAATATTCAACATAAGTACACATATAACCGGCTCTCGAACGAAGCGGACGTTCCGATATTAAATTTGATGCAAATGCATCGCTGGAAACTATTGGATATTCTACAATACGAAGTCTGCAAAATTATGTAACGTATTGCAGCAAGATGCAAACCTTGTCAAATCACTGCAATGTTCGTTGGAATTTGTGCTATTTTCATTTTCCTCCGTCTGAAATCTCTACAACTTTATGTAAATTATTGTGAATTTGTAGCGTAAACTAACACGTTTCCTTTAATGCTTTTCCAAGGATCGTGTTGTGGCCGTGTTGCGGTGACATAGGCAATTGTCTCTTAGATCGCGGACACACGTCAGTTTTAGCACCCGACGCGTCTCGGAATTAGCGAGCACTAAGTGCACGACGCGACAAACACGCGCAAAATAAACGCCT